TTTATATATATATATATATATATATATATATATATAAACACACGCACACATAAATACATTGTTTCTTAATCATTTACATATAGCTAAGTAAAAATGTTTAAAAATCATTTTTTTAAATAATATTTTGCTAGGTTTACCTAGCAGCATCAGGTGGCAAACATAAATGTTTTAAATTCCTGAAGAAAAATAATAAGAAGAATAAAAACAGACTTGATAACACAATGAAATATATTTTTTCTCTATAACTTTCTTAAAACTTTATGTAATAAAAAAGTTTAACTTCTTTTTTTAAAATGTCCATTTCACAATATTTGAATTTAACAAAATTAAATTTAATAGTCTCTACTACTTTAATAATTGATATAAATAATATATATTTCCCCTTTAATGGAATTATTAATCTGATAACATTGGTTTCCCTCCATTGATTCCTCCTTTAACCCTCTCACTGCTGGTAGGTTAAAGTGTGCATATCACAGTCTTTTATTCAAACTTTAATCAAACTACTTTATTATGATTGTATACAAATAAACTTTGCATAAAAACAGTTAATAAATCAAGTTTTAATATTATACAACTTTTAAGTTCTAAATTCCATAAGGAAACATTTAAAAAATTCCTCAATCTCCCCTAGTATGAGAATCATAACATTTGTTTTCTAGGTCTTCTCCCTCCTCCAATTTAATTACCAACCCTTTCTGAAGTAGAATTTGATGAAAATTACTTATTATAGTGTAGATATTATAAAGGCAAAGTATAATTTTTGTAGCGTTCAATCTTATTTTTTACAAAGCCATAAACTAGAAAATCAGACCCACTTGTCATGCCCACCTGTCACATTCTCTCTTTCAGAAATTGCCTGTAGTTCTTTCTGATGTTTTATACTATATTGTTTTCTGTACAGAGCATTATCTATTTCTCCTTCAGTTTGAAACTTTTTCTCATGGTATTGACATCGACAAGCTTAGCTGAATTTTTAAAGGCTCTTATCACATAGGTAGAAAACCAGATAAATTAAGAGTTACAGGACACTGCTTGCTTTGGGAATGTTATTATTCTGTGTCCTTAGGTGCATTATTTAATCAAATAAAAATTTAGTGTAATAGTACTATTATTACAAAAAAGTAAGCTTACATTTTTTGACAGCAAAATAACATGAGGACCCAGGCAAGTACTACATTTTTTGTTTTACATGTGTATTCTTTATTTAACATTATAAAAGTAACTAAAATGTAAAAAATGAGAAACTAATTTGGTTAGATAAAGTTACATATTGTAAGATAATAATAAAAAAAATTTCTTCACAAGATATGCTCCATAAACAAATAAGACTGAAGGCTATAAAAATTATACTTTGTCTGAGCAATTAATATATTATCACGAGTAATATACATCAAATTCAATACTTCTTGGAGGGGTGGTAAATAAATTAGAGAAAAGGGAAAGATCCAGAAAATAAATGATAGATTTGGGCTTTTCGAAATTATTTCCTTATAAAATTAAGAACTTAAAACATATATAACATTAACACCATGGATACACTCCAGTACCCAGTGAGGATAGCTCGTATGGAGAATGATAACTATGAGCTTTTCTTAATGTATCTTTATAAAAATTGGTAATATTTGTTAAAGATTACAAATATTTTGAATACCAAGAATGAGATTATTTTTTATCAAGTATTTCCAATAAATTTTGTACTTTTGTACAATTGGTAATATTTGTTAAAGATTACAAATATTTTGAATACCAAGAATGAGATTATTTTTTATCAAGTATTTCCAATAAATTTTGTACTTTTTTCCATCTTATAGTTTCAACTTTCATTTGCATAACTTCTAGAATCTTCTAAATGAATAACACAAATTGTTCTTTTTTAGGTAAACGGTTTTACTTTATTTTCTATTTTCTCTAACATATCACTAACTCTATCTATTATCATGAACATATATTACAATGAAACACAAAAGTGGAAATAATGCTAAGAGCGGTTTGACTAGTTCGGCATGGAATTGTTCGTGACAATTTTAAAATAACCGTTGGGAAATTGTACTTTGAAATGTGCTCTTCTATTGGTTATAAACATCTACCTCAAATAAGAATAAATGGCTGATAAATCAAGACTATTTGTGTAGAAAATGGGAGTGACTTCAGTCAAGAGTTCCAAAAAATGTATTTCTCCTTTCTCCAAACATGCCCTAAGAAGCTTGAAAGAAGAATGTGTAAACAGAGTAATTAATCTAGTTTCCAAATTAAAAAATAGAAGTAGGGTGTACATGTAAAAGTATTAAAGTTACAGAGATGAAAGTTTCAGACTTTGTGAACTTGTGTATCACACGACAACATAACTAAAGTTTAAGAATTTTTCTTTAAGGTATCTTTTGAAATAAAGGAATTGAAATTTAAATAATATAAAACTTTCAACTATAATCTAAATTTTAATTCTAATTTCATTAGCATACATTGATCATAAAATTGCTTAACCGTATCGCCCTGGGTACCCTTTACTGCACATGACACAAGGTTTTAGTGTCTTACGTTCAAAATTTTATTAAACCACTTTTTTTTTTTATGTTATACCAATTATAATAGCATAGAATCTTAGCTAATAATCCATATTTTTAATAGTATACAAGTTTTAAGTTCTTAATTCTACAAAGCAATATTTAAAAAAATCCTGAATTTTCCCTAGGTATATTCTCATCCCTATTTTATCCATGACACCCCAAGGAACTATGAAATTAAACATAAATTACTAACTATAAGATCATCATTGCTCAGACAAACCATAATTTTTATAGCTTTCAATTTTGTTTGGTTACAGAGCTATCAAATAGAAAATCATACCCCTCCTGCCACATCCTCTCTTTCAGGATTTGTCAATAGTTCTCTCTTACATTTAACTACATATTACCTATAACCAATAGAAAGTCAAGGTTTCCATCTATCAAATGATGTACTGTATAATGTGTTCTCAATAGATAATCCTCATTTTCAATCAGAGTACAAACTCCGTTTCTACAGTAAAGGTAATGACTAGCTTGGATGAATTTGTAATGGCTCTTTTCACATAGTTAGAAAACCAAAAACTTTTGAGTTAGGAGAAATTGTCTATTTTTTGCATGTTATTAATTACTGTTCTTTGGTGCATTATTCAATTAAATAAAAATTATTTAGTGCATTACTACAATTAGTATAAAAAAGTAGGGTTAACTGGCATCAACAATCGACAGCAAGAAAAAAGAAGTTTGGGTAAGTACTTTATTTCTTGTTTATTCTTTATTTCTTATTATAAAAGTCATTAAAATGTAAATATGGGGATCTTTATAGGTTAGTTAAGATTAGATTAGGTAAAATAAATAATAATATAAAAAAAGTTTCACAAGGCACGCAGGCATGAGTAATTTAATTCGATAGCATAACATGAGCTGCACTTTCTTTCTTTCTATAATGACTTCAAATTGTAACATGAAACTATATTTGTTTATCCTAAATAGCTTTAAACTTGTAACAGTATACATCTGTTTGTACTTAAATTTCATTGCACTTTGAACAATGTCTAACTGATACTACTGCCAATAAAATTTGTAAATAACTTGGCAAATGTGGAGGTCACATTACCTTATCAAATTACATAGTGCACAAGCTACTTGTTACTTGTGAAAGTTATTATTATTCTTTATTTTACCTAATCTGATCGAAAATTCTCATTCTTACATTTTAATTACTTTTATAATAAATAATAATTACACAAGAGAAACAATAAATAAAGTACTTACCTAGGCCTTTTTTTCTTTGCTGTCAACTGTCGATGATACTTAACCCTGCATTTTTATACTAATGGTACAACTGCACTAATTTTTTTTTATTTAATTATGCACTGAAGAACACAGAGTAATCACATGCTAAAAGCAGACAATGTCCCACAACTATCACAATTTTTCTGTCTGTCTAACTATGTGACAAGATCTATTACAAATTCATTCAATATGATCAATATGGGAATAAAGTTTGAACTGGAGGCAAAACAGACAATTCTCTGGACAAAAAACAAAGTAATATAATATGTCATTTGATAGATTGAAACGTTGGCTTTCTATTGGTTACACATAATATAGTATTAAATGTCAAAGAAAAATATTGGCAATTTCTGAGAGGATGTAACAGGTGGGTGTGGGAAAAAGGGCCGGATTTTCCATTTTATGAATCTGTAATTAAATAAGATTGAAGGCTATAAAAAGTATGCTTTGCCTAAGCAATGACAACATTATTATAAATAACTTACGTTAAATTTCGTACTTCTTGGAGGTATGGTAAATGCATTACGAAAGAGGAATTGCCTAGAGAAAATGTCACAATTCTCATACAAGGGAAATTCAGGATTTATTTTAATATTGCTTTATAAAATTATGAACTTAAAACTTATATACTATTAAAATTTCAAATATTACCTTCATTGTTATGCCAAACTTATTTGTGTACTATAATGAGAAAGTAGTTTAATTAAATTTTGAATGTAACTCTAAAAAGGGTTAAAGAAATTTTCAGATACTTGTAGGCATGAGCAGAAATATGGTGCTTAGTATTTCCAATAGAAGTAACCTTACAGTTACCATATATTTCTAAATTACCATGAATACAGGGTACTGGATAGATTGTCTTTCATATAAAAAAGTGGCATAATTTCTAAGATTTTTTGAAGACACTCATTTTAACTGGCTAATAAAATCTTATTAGTGTCTTAAGTAGAACAAGAAGTATAAGGCACATGGCAACTGTAGGTAATTTTTGCAAATTGGTAAATAAAATATAGAGCATTCAGCAGTTGTGAGTGATTTCTACAAACTACCAAATGGTATATAGGGAATTTGGCAACTGTGGGTGATTTTTACATATTGCCATGTTTTTGTTTCATTAATATTTTGGTCAACTTCTCAATTACAGCTTTTTGGTATGTAATTCAGCATGTTGTGTAAAACAAAGTTTCTGAGTAAAACAGAAATATATTAAATATTCATTTTTCACATAAAAAAAAAAGAAGTGTAACCAAATTAAATTTGTAATTTAAGGGCAGGAAGCGGTCAAACTGAGTAAGAAGTCCTGTAGCACAAGTACACCTAAAAACAAATATGGTAGGTTTGTTCATTAAAAAGAAAATCAACAGCAAGAGTTGAGCCAATAAAAGGTTCCACAGAAATGTCAAATAAATTCCTGTGAAAAATTTTTTCATTAACTCTACCAACATGGGCTTGGTCACTTTAACCAACCTTGCAACCACCAGGTAACCATGGAAGTATCCAAAGTATAACTCTTAATGTAGTAAGTGTACTGTCATAAAACTTTTAGTAAACATTACATATTTTTCAAACATAAAAAATCAGATTCATAAAATAATTATTTAAATTAAATATTTTTCTGTGAATATATGAAGTCGGTGTGATTCCAACTGACCATTCCAACTGCAAAGTCATTTTCATGATAAGATTAAAAATACTTTTTTTTTTCTAAGACTTAGAAAAGTATAACTCTTAATGTAGTAAGTGTACTGTCATAAAACTTTTAGTAAACATTACATATTTTTCAAACATAAAAAATCAGATTCATAAAATAATTATTTAAATTAAAGATTTGTCTGTGAATATATGAAGTCGGAGTGATTCCAACTGACCATTCCAATTGCAAAGTCATTTTCATGATAAAATTAAAAATACTTTTTTTTTCTAAGACGAAAGGCGGAAGATTTTCGAAACATCGTCCTGTACATTTTAAGGTTTCTGTAACAGGCAGTTGCTGTCCATTTGAAACTTAGATTCACTTTTTTTCATCATACAGTTTTCAATTTTCAGATTGTGATAAGATTATGTTTATTTGACATTACTCCATTCAGTGTTGCCACAATTAATAGCCAGTATGATTGTGTCCATCAGACATTAGTTCATTCAGTGGTGTCACAGTTAATAGCCAGTAAGATTGTGCCAATCAGACATTAATCCATTCAGTGTTGTCACAGTTAATAGCCAGTAAGATTGTGCCGATCAGACATTAATTCATTCAGTGTCGTCACAGTTAATAGCCAGTAAGATTGTGCCAACCAGACATTAATTCATTCAGTGTTGACACATTTAATAGCCAGAAAGACTGTGTCGATCAGACATTAATTCATTTAGTGTTTTCAACTTAACAGCCAGTAAGACTGTCATTCAGACATTAATCAAGCCTATCTCTGACTTGCATATGAACATACTGAAAGTTTCAATTATAATAAGAAAAGTTCAGGTGTTCCAGTTTCAGAAGTCAGCATGCACAACATTTAAGGTGAGTTGGCAGAAACTGAGCTACAGCAGCAAAACACTGAGTGACAAAGCTTGATTTCAAGAAAACCAGTTTCTAACAGGTGAATTTTCTCAGTAAACCCATTATAAATAAAGTTATGTTAGTTTTTTAGTGTACTAACTTAGGCAAATACATTCTTTAATAACAAAAAAACTTCATACAAAAACAATAATACAAATCTACTTACAAAACTGTATTAATTTTTCTTATACATAATATGTAAAAATAAAACTACTTATTAAAATGTCTGGTTTAAAGTTTACAAAAAACTGCATGTGGATATCCTGATTCTATTATACAGCAACTTTCCTACCTGGCAAACCCAAGAGCTGTTCAATGCTTTCTACATAATTCTGGGCTTCACGTGGCAAGTCCATAAACTTCCGTACATCTTCTGTACTCTGTTTCCACCCAGGTAAACTTATGTACTCTACTTCTACACAGGACATCTCAGAAAGATTTGCTGTATATCAAGAAATAATAAAGGTATTTAAAAGCAGAAATAGTACATACAATACAAAGTAATTACAAACCCTTCAAACACAAAATCAGGATACATACACTAGCCTAGAGGACATAATTAAACACGCATTAGAAACAGAATCAATACAGAGTCAATTATACACACTTCAGGAACAGAGTCAATTATACACACTTCAGGAACAGAATCAATACATACATTAGCCTAGAGAGAGAATTATACACACTTCAGGAACAGAATCAATACATACATTAGCCTAGAGAGAGAATTATACACACTTCAGGAACAGAATCAATACATACATTAGCCTAGAAAGAGAATTATACACACTTCAGGAACAGAATCAATACATACATTAGCCTAGAGAGAGAATTATACACACTTCAGGAACAGAATCAATACATACATTAGCCTAGAGAGAGACAATTATACACACTTCAGGAACAGAATCAATACATACATTAGCCTAG